CTCCTCCCCCCGCCTCCTCCTCGTCCTCGTCCTCGTCCTCCTCCTCCTCCTCCTCCTCCTCCTCCTCCTCCACCACCTCCTCCTCCCTCTTCTGCTCGTCCTCCTCCTCATCCGCCTTCTCGTCCTCCTGCTACCCTTCATCCTGATTGGTATATACTCCCACTCTGCCATCTAGCTAGCTGGTACCAACCAGATCTGAAGGTTCCCATCCTACCGTTAGGTCGGGCATGTCCCCCTACAGGTGGACCTTGGTGGAACAATCGAAAATAGTCCAAACATGCTTTAAATATTCAAAAATATAATATGAGCACAAAACCTTCCCAGCCGATCTTCAAAGATAAAATATCCTCCTGTAGAGGGACAGGCCCGACTTCATCCCACCGACGAGAAGATACGACATCAACGCCTACGTCTCAAAGCTGACGGCACGCTGCCCAGGTGGCAGCATGCGCAGAATGCCGGGACGCGGCGCGCACATCCCGCGCGGGAGGCCGAAATGTCGTCCTCGCCCCGGCGCCGCACGCCTTGCCCTGAAGAACCCACGCCACGTCGTCGACGCGCGGGCGGGGGGGCGAAGACGGCGCGCTCTCGCCTCGGGCCGCGCAGGCGTCGCCGGAGACTCGGCGCTCCCGCCCCGACGCGGCGCAGCTCCATCGCTCGCCCACTCTGGGCGAGGCCGCGCGAGGGCTCGCCGCCCTCGCCGAGGCTCCGTGGCGCACGCTGCTGGGAGGTGGAGTCCCCGCGCGGGCGCGGCGCGCGGCTCGCTCACCCGCGTCGCAGGAGAGCGGCAGCGGCGGTGGGCCCGCGCGAGAGCGGGCGGAGTGCCGGCCTCGCCCGTGCACCGCGCAGCCGGTGAGCGAGGGCGGCAGTGCTGCGTCGGCGCGGCGCAGTGCTGTGTCTCCGCCGGGGCCAGCGCAGGCTCTGCCGCGTCCGCCCGCTGCGCGGCCTGCGTAGCTGTCCCTTCGCCAGGTCGACGGAGGCAAGGGGCCGCGCGCGAGCACCGCTTGCGAGGCAGGAGCGCGCTTGAATCCGAATGTGCCACGATTGACCCTCATGTTGCGGGAGGGAGAGTGGGAATAGGCGAGGCCCTCTGGCTCGCTCGAGCTAGATGGACTCCTCCTCCTCCTCCTCCTCCTCCTCCTCCTCCTCCTCCTCCTCCTTCTCCTCCTCCTCCATACTCCATCATCATTATCATCACCACCAGCGACACACCTCTCCCTCCTCCTCCTCCTCCTCCTCCTCTCCTCCTCCTCCTCCTCCCTCCTCGTCCTCCTCCCTCCTCCTCTCCTCCTCCTCCTCCTCTCCTCCTCCTCCTCCTCCTCCTCCTCCTCCTCCTCCTCTCCTCCTCCTCATCCTCATCCTCATCCTCATCCTCATCCTCATCCTCATCCTCATCCCATCCTCATCCTCATCCTCATCCACATCATCATCATCATCATCATCATCATCATCATCATCATCATCATCATCATCATCATCATCATCATCATCATCATCATCATCATCATCATCATCATCATCATCATCATCATCATCATCATCATCATCATCATCATCATCATCATCATCATCATCATCATCATCATCATCATCATCATCATCATCATCATCATCATCATCATCATCATCATCATCATCATCATCATCATCATCATCATCATCATCATCATCATCATCATCATCATCATCATCATCATCATCATCATCATCATCATCATCATCATCATCATCTTCATCTTCATCATCAGCAGCATCATCATCATCATCGTCATCGCTGCAAGCAACAACAACCCATTCAAAGCATGCGCATGTTCCGATAGTTTCTGGGGGGGACCACGCCAACAAATCCGCATCAGACCATGCCTGATCCCAGACCCCAGGCGCATCGATGTTTTCTATCTGGGCGTTTCTCCTCTGCTTCTGTCTCCGCGGGCGATTGTCCGGCCACGAGTTGCACTGGGGAATGAGTCGAGATATTCAAGGCCAACGGGTTAAACAACTCAAGCCGCCAGAGGGGGGAGAGTGAAGTGGAAACTGCACAGGCACCTAGGCGCTCGGAACACCTTGGTGTGGCCTGGTGGCGAGTGCCGTGGGCGGGGGGGGGCGAGGCTGACCGAGGTATGCGTGCTGCGAGCGCGGCCGAAGTTACCCCCTGGGGGGCTCGCACGGAAGCAGCCCGGTCAAGAAGGAGGAGGAGGAGGACGAGGAGGAGGAGGAGGAGGAGGAGGAGGAGGAGGAGGAGGAGGAGGAGGAGGAGGAGGAGGGGGAGGGGGAGGAAGAGGAGGGGGAAGAGCGGCACTGCCCGAGCGGAAGGAGGGAGGAGAGGTGCGAAAGCAAAGAGCGAAGAGAGACCAGGGCAGACGGCGAGGCCGAGGTTGGCATAAGTTGTGACAAGCGTGCTGTTTGTCTGGCCCTTTCCCCTCGAGAAGCTTCGCTCGAGCAGAACAAGACAGCTGCTAGGATCTGGTGTGCATGCACTTGCTTCTGTTCAGCCTCCTCCTCCTCCTCCTCCTCCTCCTCCTCCTCCTCCTCCTCCTCCTCCTCCTCCTCCTCCTCCTACTCCTCACCCCGTTCACACTTATATTCCTCCTCGTTGTCCTCAAAATGTTCCAACGATCCTCCTCCTCCCTCTCCCGCTCTCATGTGTAGCAGCTGGTGTCCCCTGAGGATCCGACAAATCGTCTGCGTGACGTGGGCCCTAGACCTCTCGACTCTTCTCCAAGGCCGGCGTCCCACCGTGAGTCGCTTCCGGGCAGGCCCCAGGGCCTGGAAACAGCCCCCAGAAGGCGAAACCTGAGCAACATCATCCATGCGATGTTTCGGCTCGCCGAAAATCTGGGCTGATCCACCTCTCCGCCCGCTACCCCCTCCTTTGTTGTCGCCCAGCGCGCTCGGGATCCACAGCCTGCGCATCTCCCCCTCCTCTAGGGCGCTGGCGGGAGGATGGGGAGGAAGAGGGAGGGGGGAGGCTTTTTGATTCGAGGATACACTAGGGCAACTATCTTCGCGCTTCGCGCTCCGCGAAGCGCGATTATCTTTGCGCTTTCGCGCCGCCCACTCCCCCCGGATCAGGAGGGACTCGCGCCTCGCTCTGAAATCGCCCTGACCGCGATGCGCGAAGCGCGACTAACTTCGCACCATCGTGGTGGCCCTACGTGACGTCAGCGCGCCGCTGTGATGGGCAGATCTACCGAGAAGTCCTAACAGGCTTGGGCAAAGGAGGCCAGGCAGCCTGGCGAGAGGGCGCGGCATGGGCATCCGCTCCGTTCGGAACCCTCATCATGACGGGGCCCTGGGACACACAAATAAATAGACACAAATAACAGGATTCACAATATTTTCTCAGATTTTCTGAGTTTGGGTCGTCCCCCCCACTTCCCACAGTTTCCCATTTTTTCCGGGGAATAGACAATTAATTGTGTCTGTGTGTTTTTCCCTCCTGAGTACGAGGAAGCGGCGTAAAACACAAGGAGAATCGGCGGCGAGGAAATAGGGGAAGCGAGAAGAAGAAGAAGAAGAAGAAGAAGAAGGTCCTCCCAGACTGGCCATCGCTCGGACGTTCATTCCCTGTGTTTTTTTCAGTTTCGTGCGTGGTTTTTTCGATGCTCCTCGATGGTCCTCCCCGAAGGAAAAATGCACACGCCCGAGCGATGCCAAGCAGAAGGCGGCGGGACTTCTCAGAGGCCCTGGCGCCTTCTGAGTAGCTCCCTGCGTCCTCGGGGAAGGCCTAGAAAACTTCTCAGACAGCTGAGGGACTTCCGAGCCTTCTGAGAAAGCCTTCTCCTCCTCACTTCCCCCCCCAAGGCTCGCCGCCGAGAGAATAGGAACCAAGAGATAGTGGCCCGGCAGCCTACTCTGCGCGAGGGCTTCACCCGCTACGGCCAGCTGGATTTGCTTCATGTGGCCCGAACGCTGGTGCTAAACAGCTGCTGCAAACCCATATTGACTGCATGAGGGAGGAAAAGGAAGTCAAAACGAAAACGGTCCACGAAATTGCCAACACACCGCTTGGCTCGAGCCCCGACATCCACCCGAATGGGGGGACCCACATGTGGAAGAGGCCCAGGACGAACGCTGGCCCGCAGACCACCGCTTCGTGCAGGTGCGCGCCTGCTGGCTGCATACCACTGATGGGGCCCTGGGACACGCAAATAAAGACACACGAATAACAGGATCCCCCATGTTTCCCATATTTTCTGGGTTTCTGTCTTCCCCCCCACTTCCCATATTTTCCCATAGTTTCTGGGTTTTCGTCTTCCCCCCCACTTCCCATATTTTGCCATATCTTCTGGGGAATCGACGATGAATTGTGTCTGTGTGTTTCTTTCCCTCCGGAACCCATCCGTCCAGCTGCTTGCGGCCAGCTGTGCTGCGAGCGGTTGCAGAGCGCGGATCTCCAAGCGGTTGCCCGACGTGGCCGGGCAGAGCCGGCTGCGCGCGGGAGAACTCAAAGTGGCCTGGGCCCAGAAGGCCGCAGGATCGTGCGATACAAGCGCACGCAGGCCTTCTTACATCAACAACGGGTGCGGTGCGGTGCGTAGAATGTAATATGGGCAAGATGCAGCTTCCCGGCATGAGGCATCATGTGGAGTGGAGAGGTAGCGATAGGTGGAGGTCGTTCGTGGAGCGGCACGTGTCCGTTGCGCTCGCAACCTCGTCCTGGGTCGCGCTGAGCTGGGTCTTGGACGCGCATGAGCACCGCAGACGGACGGCCTAGACCGCGGAGAAGCCATGTCGCTGATGGGGCTATGCGTAAAAAAATCCGCCCCGACTCCGCCTCGTTCCACTCCATGAGAAGCCTCTACGTGCTGCTCTGCGGAATGACCTCCCGCGTGGCGAGCGGCGTCATCTGGACCACGCGAAGACGATAGCCATCTCCGTCCCAAGTGCCGCTGCGCGAGGCCATCCAGATGGATGCCTCTGGCCAGGGTTTGGCAGCGCGGGAGTTGGCCAGAGCGTCGAAAGCCACAGGGGGGCCTCCCACTGCGCGAACACCACTTGCGCGGGCAGAAGGCAACGGCGCGAGTGCAGCCAGGGCTGTTGGCGGAAATGGCGGCGGCAAGAAGCGAGCATGCACGGAGCATGTGGCTGCGAATGCTGCCAAGGAGACACTTGCAGATCCTGCTGGTGCTCCAGGCACCGGCTGCCGCGCGCGCATCTGCGGGATGCAGAGCTTCCGTGGGCACCTGCTGGCAGGCTAGCCTCTTACTTCGTGTGCTTCCCGCTGCAAGCTATCAAGAGGCTTCTCCCGGACGGCGCACGAGGTCGAGCGACGACGTCGACGATGACTTCGTCATCGGCGGCGTCGCTTTGAAGGATTTGAGGCGTTTCTGGTGCTTCTCGTCGCCATGGCTGGGCGCAGCTCGAAAAACTGCCCACGAGGGATCCCAGGAAGGTCGCGGGACCGGCCTGGGGCGGACTTGGGCTGGGGGGCGGGGCGAGGGGGGGGCGACCTTATCACGAGCACTCTGGCTTCTAAAGAGGCCTTCCCTGAAACCTCGAAGCCCTTTCTGAGAAGACCCGTGCCTTCTTATGATTGACCAAAAAAGGACCCCTAACCCTTCGGGAGGGGACCTGAGTCAGGAGGGCCAGGCACATCAGGATAGAGGGGTCTCTTTTTTGCAGGCGCATCGACCCAAGCCGCTCAGAACTATGATCCCTGATGCGAAGACGGGGACCTCGGCAGGGCTACGTCTTCATCGTCGTGTTCGGGTCAGTGGCTCTCTTGTATCCCCAGTGATCCTGGACGGCCGCCCTGTCGCCCCCGGCCCCTTTCGGCTGCACGTAAGAGCGACCCTGGGCAAGAGTGACCTTGGGTGCGCGGCCTTTCGGGGGGCACGAGGAGGCCAAACACAGGCGCGCAAGACGCTACTATCGCACCGAGCGCGGCGATCGGGGGACCCCAGTGAGAGCGCACCAAAGGTCACTGCAGCGAAGGGTCACTCTTACATGTAGTCGACCCGGAGAGGGCCTCGTCATTTCCAAGAGTTTCTCCGGCGTGATGCATCTAGTCCCCCGCCGCGAGCAGTCAGACGGCACGCGAGGCATTTTGTCGATTTACGTGCTCTGCGAACACAAGATTACTTACTCAGGTCGTGTTTGGGTGGTGTTCGAGTGTATGATATCTTGCCGGATTCGGTTGTTGCTGCCACTTCAGTCAAGCAGTTCCAGAGCATGCTGACGTAGTTGTGCGTGCCGCCCCCTTGCCCGCCACCGTCGTGCCACCAGAGAGAGGCCAGCCCCGCCCGAAGCCCGAAGCCGAAGAGCTCGGCTCGTGGGCCTGGGCCTCTCGGAGGCTGCCAGACCGTGTGCGGGGGGGCCGTCGATGGGAGAACCCCAGCGCGAAGCGCACAGGCTGGACTTCGACCAAAAAGATGATCCACGAGAAAACCCCTCCTCCTCCTCCTCCTCCTCCTCCTCCTCCTCCTCCTCCTCCTCCTCCTCCTCCTCCTCCTCCTCCTCCTCCTCCTCCTCCTCCTCCTCCTCCTCCTCCTCCTCCTCCTCCTCCTCCCCCCTCCCCCTCCCCCTCCCCCTCCTCCCCCCCTCCTCTCCTCCTCCTCCCTCCTCCTCCTCCTCCTCCTCCCCTCCTCCTCCTCCTCTTCCTCCTCCTCCTGCCTCCTCCTCCTCCTCCTCCTCCTCCTCCTCCTCCTCCTCCTCCCCCTCCTCCGCATACCGCGCGCACGGCCCAGGCTTTTGTTGGAGACGGGCCCTGGGAGTCCGTGGACTTCGTTGTGGCAAGCCCACTGAGCCCAGGGCACCCTGGTGAGCCCCAGTAAGCCCAAGGCGCTCTGGCAAAGTACTCGTGGTGTCCTGGTGCGCGTCTCCACCGAGGCCCGTCGGGTTGGGCCGGATGGGGATACGGCCGAAGTTGGCTGGAGGGGACGCGATGGAGGACGCAAAACCCCTCCGAGGGCCACACTGCCATGGAAGTGCAGGAGGCATGCGTCGCGAACATACAGGACACGAGGGCAGCCTCGATTTGGAAGGGTCGACCTACTAACTGTCCTCGACTGTACAGTCAACCCGTACAATAAGGACGCACGATGAGGATGCAAGGGCCTTGGAAACTCATGTCGACATTTTGCGAGCGGGGCGTGGCCAGCGAAAGTGGCCAAGGATGGGCCGAAGGGAAAGGATGCAAGGGTTAACATGGGAAAGTTGCGCATCCTTACTATGCGAGTTGACTGTAGGCTCTGCGCGGCAGCGGTGCCCCGACCCCGCGTCTCTTCCCCGAGGGACAGCGAGGAAAGGGACTGTGCCCCCGACGTCTGGACCCCGTGGATGCGGAAGGAAGAGGAAACGCAGCAGAGGCAGGGACAGACGAGCGTGAACAGCGACGGTCCTCGGAACGTCTGCTCTGGCGCCGACGTGCGCTGTTTCACCGGATCCCTTCCACACGACGGAAGTTGGCGTGACGATGGCCGACACGGGCCGAATGGGGCACACACACACGCACACACCTTGGGCCAACGCACGTCCTGAGGATCACCGAGAAGTAGCACGAGCGAGAGGGCCAGGACGAGAAAGAGCCGTGCCAATCGAAACCGAAGGAAGAGGAAAAGGAAGAGGAATGGGAAGGGACGAAGCGCCCACGAGGTGGAATACGAAGAGTCATAGGAAGAGGAAGGGGGTTGAGAAAGAGATGCGGATATCAGAAGAGGACGAGGACGAAGACGGACAGAAAGGGAAAAAGAAAGAGAAACGAGAAGAGGGAGATGAGAAGGAGGAGCCCGATGATGAAGAATGAGGGTGCACACACAAATGAACAGAGAAAGCCAGGGCCCAATACCCCGTAAGAGGGGGACGAACTCCTCAACACCATTCATGGGCCTTCAAGACCTCCAAGTCCACCATCCGACGCTTCCAAAATATAGATGCCATCCAAGACACCACAAGAGAGCCCCGTCACGGCCAAGAGGCCTCAAGGAAGAAGGCGAGAGGGCCCTGAAAGATTCCAAGGAAGTCAAACGAGCTCCCAAATGGAGCCCAGACATCCTAAACCATCCACAACAAATACTGCTCCGCAGCACTTGTAACAATATCCGAATATCAATGTCTGGACGTATCCGATGAGGTCCAGGAGGCCTTCAAGACGCCCTAAGACAGCTCAAGATGTCCAAAGATAGCTTCAAACTGCCCTTGAGGCTTCAAGCTGGCCAAAGCAGCCCAAAGATCGCCTCAAGACGGCCAAGACTTCCCCCATACACGGCCTAAAGACCCTACGAAACTATCCCGACGGAACGTCAAGCTAGCATCAAAGAGACCCCCCAGAAGCCCCAAGGGAGTTATATAAAGACCCTACACGGCCTCACGCCATATCACCAACACTCTCTGAATGGGAGTGTTGCGTGTGACTCCCCCACTAGGGGCCAGACACACGCCTGGTTCGAAATTATCCTGCTCGTCCGCTTCCTACTCTTCTTTCTCCTAGCAATATATATATATATATACACACACACACATACGTACATACATACATACATACATACATACATACATACATACATACATACCTACCTACCTACCCACCTACCTACCTACCTACCTACCTACCTACCTACCTACCTACCTACCCACATACATACATGCATGCATGCATGCATACATACATACATACATACATACATACATACATACACACACATTTTCTGGAGCTTCGTCTTCCCCTCCAGTTCCCCCATGTTCCCATATGTGCCTGGGGATCGACGTGTCATTGTGCCTGTGTGTTTCTTTCCCTCCTGAGAAAGGGGGGCACGAGGAGTAGGAGAGCTCCTTCATCTGTTTAATGCCGATCGTCCAGCCGGTCATCACGTCGTTCAGGCAGAACTTCTCTGGCTTCCCGCCTTCCACTCCGCGGCATCACCGCCGCTGCGGATCGCAGACGTGGCCCTGCTGTCACCGCTGCTGGTCCTGCCACTGCTCCTGGTCCTCGGGCAGGGTGGCAATGGGGGGTGACCTAAACGGGGAGCTGAAGAGGAAGGCCGGAAAGGGACCCTCGAGGGCCCCCTGTGGGCCCCTGCTGGCTCCCAAAGGGGCGCCAAAGGGCCTCCTTTGGGGCCCTCCCTGTTCTTCAACCCCCACTCAAGTTGCCCCATTACCACCCGCCCGAACTTCCCTCCACCCCCCTCCTCACCATCCCCGCTCCCTCCCCCTCCCCTCCCCTCTCCCCTCTTCCCTCTCCCCTCCCCTACTCCTCCCATCTCCCTCCCATCTCCCTCTCCCTCTCCCTCTCCCTCGCCCTCCCACTCCATGCCGTCCCAACCCTCTCCCTCCCCCTCTCCTCCCGCCGTCCCTCACCCAACCGCTTCCCCTTCTCATTCATCTGGCTCCTCCGCCTCCTTTTCGCGTTGCGCGGGCATTGATTTAGAGATCGCTGGGTCGTGCCACGAGACGAAAAACTGCCAAGCCGGACGTGGGCGAAGTATATGTATGCGTTGTTTTGTTAACCAAGCTGGGCATGTAACTGCACGCAGCAAATGGGGGGAAATCTAAGCAAAGGGGACCAGCAAGACGTGATTAGCCCGCAAGGGCACTGAGTAAACGCAGCGTGCTGCAATTTCGGTAGGGAGCGGTCAGAATACTAAACAGCAGCAGATTGGACAGCGACCGGGTGAGGTGTGTAGGGTGTGGCTGCAGAAGTGTTGACTGCATCGTACTGCGCCCCGCAGTATGGAGCCCTCAGCGGGACTGCCCCTCCGCAGCAGGGCCAAAATGGCCACTAAGCACGAGCACACTGTACGTTTTAAGATGTGGTAGGGCGGTGGCAACGGCAGGCTAAAGGGGCAAAACACAAGTGGAGATACTAAGACTGCAGGTGTGTAGGCAAGTTAAGGGTAAGCCCAATCGAATCGAGATCGAATCAAGGGCACCTTAGCCTGGTAGCCCCTCCCCGTCCACCTCCGCCTCCTGACCCTCGCACTCCTCCTCATCCTCCTCTTCATCCTCCTCCCCCTGCTCCTCCCTCCCCTCCTCCAATTATTCCTTTCATTGTCCTCATACTTCACTTACTCCTCCAAGCATCACTCCTGTCACCAGCACCATCATCAAGAACCGTGCCATAGCGACACCAAGTGTAGCAACAGCGGTTAACTTGAAACCAAGCACGGAAATCTGCGCAACCATCACAATCACCATGCCGATCGCGAATGATATGATTATCAAATGTATCGTAGGCACTGAGTGGAGTGCCCTTCAGGTCCCTTCGAGTTCCATGCAATGGGTACTGCAAATGGCCCAGCGCCCCTAGATACGGGCGCTCGTGTGAGTCCCCGTGCGATTTGTCCAGAGGCCTCGGGAGCGTGAACTGAACTTCACACTTCCGCGTGGCCTCAAATGGTCCCAGGGCCCGTCCAAGAGCCCTCGTGTGGGCCCCATGTGGTCGGCTTGGAGACCCTAAGGGCTGGCCCAAGAGTTCTATTTCGCTGGCAAAAGTGATTCACCAAAAAAGGGCCCCCTAATCTCTTAGGATGGGACCTCAGTTAGGAGGGTCAAGAACATCAGGGATAAGGGGGTCGTTTTCTGCAGATGCACCAAGCCAAACCGCCCAGACTTCGCATCCCTAGTGCGAAGACGGTGACCTCAGTGAGGCCACGTCTTCATCGCGTTGGTAGGGTTAGGGGCTCTTTTGTCCCCAGTGGAAAAGCACAAGCCTGTGCAGAATGCTGGCATCAACCCGCCCGGTCGGCCCGAAAGGGCGCCAAGCACGTGGCGCAAGAGAGGCCCCACCCCGACGCGGCCCCCACGAGGCCCCCACGAGGGACCAAGGGGCGCCCGAGAGAGCGCCCCAAGAGGAGCCCAAAGAGGGGGAGCACGAATTACAGCCAGCCCGTATCATGACGATGCACGACTAGGATGCAGGGGCCTTGGAAGGCCGTGTTGACACATTGCAGGCGGGGCGCGGCCAGCGAAAGTGGCCAAGGATGGGCCGAGGAGGCAAGGATGCAAGGGTACCTCGGGAAGGTTGCCTATCCTTACTATGCTGGTCGACTGTAGCCACAAGATGGGCCCAAAGAGGGAAACATGAACTAAGAATCCGAGCCCTTTCCTGCAAGGTGGCCTCCGAGATCACCAGCGAGGCCACACAAAAGGTCCCTCGAAAGCCACCAGAGGCCTCCAAAAGACCCCGACGAGATCCCCAAGAGGCTCCTCCGAGAGGCTTCCGAGAGAGGCCCCAAGGAGGCCTCCAAGAGCCCCGAAGAAGCTTTTAAGAGGCCTGCTGTCCACGACCCAGGCACAGTGGCCAAGCGGGACCAGGGAGACCAGATGACCGCCACCGTTCTCTCACCATGAGCATCAGCAGCAGCTGCGCTCCTCATCGTCACAGGGAACACAGTCACCGTACTACCGTCTGGAACGCCGAGTCGGGAGCGAAGGAGCTTCTCTGGCCGCGACGAGCTTCGGCCACGAACGGGCTCCCAGGCATGGACCTCAGGAGCGGCCCAAAAGCCAGAGCCCCTCCAGAGCCCAAGAGGGTTCTCGTGGCAGCGTCTTGGCCGTACCGTGTGGCAGCTCGACGGCACGGACCCGCTCGTACGCCGTGCCGTCGCTCGAGGCGTTGACCACTAGCGCTCTCGACCCTGTTCTTGGCAACAGCTTCTCGTCGGAGAACCTCTTCCTCGCCATCGTTCGGCCGTCCGTTTCCCGTGCATGCTTCGGTTTCGTGCGTGTATTTTATCGCAAGATGGCCCAATCGGCTCCTCGATGGTCCTCGCCGGGAGCAACTGCACATGTCCGAGCGATGCCAAGCTTCAAACTGGCCTGCGGACCCGAAGTCGGACCTCTAGAGGCGCACCACTCGCTCGCGACGCCCAGGCAGATGTCAGGGCGGCCTGGCTCCATGAACGCACAGGGCCAAGAAGCATCCGCAGAAGGCATCTGCACACCACTGCCACCATGGTTGGCCAGGGCCACGGGGGCACAGTTCCTCGTGGCCGCGGCCACGAAGCAGTACACAGTACGCTAGGGCCCAAGGACGGCCATGGCTGGGCACAGCGGTGGCGTACACGTGCCATCTGCGGAAGTTCCCAAGAGTTCTCCTGGGCGCCCCGGCTGTCTCCATCGCTCGATTGGAAGATCGACTACAAGACTGATTTGACCCCAAAATGGGAAGCATCGTCGAGTCTAGGAAAAACACGTGGCAGATTCCGGAAACCCTGAACACAAAAAACAATCATCTCTCGGGGGCGCATGTTATACTTCCGCCGCCTTCCGCCGGCCGTCCGCCGGCTTCCGCCGGCGGAAGCGGCCTCGTTTTACGTCCGCCGACCTTCCGCCACCCTTCCGCCGCCTTCCACGTGGAAGAGATGGCAACTCCTTCGATTCTCGAAGGCAAGGCCCTCTCTGGAACGCTCCACGTAAGATGCTCCGTACAATCCCACCAGCCCTTTGGGCGACAGGTGGTTTAACGAGGGTCTCTTTCCTCTTCCAATACCCGTCTTCCCGGCTGGGAGGGGAACCCTCCCCCCCCCTCCCTGAAGTTTTTGTTTGGAGGGTCGCGACGAGGTAGAGCGTCCATTTCCGGCCCCAGGGAGGGCCATTTTTTCCCACTCCTCAAAAGGATTGTGGCCCCCGAGGGGCGGACGGAGGTAAAGGACCCCTCTTTTGATCGATGGCTTCCAAGATGGCCCCAAGAGGGCCTCCAGGGTTCCCAAGAGAGCCCCAAGAAGGCCCAAAGAGCGCCCCAAGAAGCCCCAAGAGGCCTCCAAGAGGCACCCGGGAGGCCCCCAAGAGGCCCCCGAGCGGCCTCAGAGAGCCCAAGATGACCTCCAAGATGACTCACCTAGCCCAAGCTGGCTCAAGATGGCTCCCAAGACGCTCCAAGCCCGCCCCGAGACAGCTCCAAGATGGCTCGAGATGGCCACGGAACCTCCCAAGCCTCCCTCGCTGTTTGAGTATGCGTGTCTCCTCCTCTCTCCCCCCGTCAGCTCTCATGGGTCTCGTTTCTGGATGGGCTGGTGGGGATTATTTTGGTCCGCGTGCGCGCGAAACGAGTCGAACGCCGAGGCTGTTACGGCGGGCCGCGCCAGTAGCGAAGTGAAAAACAGTGAAGGCGACGGCGCGGTAGGCCGCGAAACTGACCAGGCGGTCAGCAGCAGAAGACCGTGCCGAAGACCTTGAAACCGAGCGTGGCGAAGCACAGGAAGCGCCCCGAGAGCATGGGGAGGACGGAGACGAAGGCGTGGTGATGGCTGGTGGGGATACTTCTTGGTCAACAGGCTCGCGAGGCGGGTCGAAAGCCGTCCGGACACGAGTCGGGCCGCGACTAGGCTGGTGGGGATACTTTTTGTTGGTCGCGTCCGCAAGCGAAGGCGCAGGCGGAGTCAGAAGGAACTGGTGGGGATACGCGAAGCGTCAAGAAACGCGAAGTTGCTTACGGAAGAGAAATTATGGGGTGAATCAGTCCTGTTGTCGATCTCCTGCTCGAGGGCGGGCCCCGGCCAGGCCCAGCGGCGGTGCACGCGTGCCTCCCGCGGGGAGCTCCCACGAGCTCTCTGGGGCTCCGCAGACCCAGGCCACCGACGTCACGATTTGCTGTTCACAGCGTCAGCCATTCAGGAGGTCTCGACCAGTTTTTCGTGGCCAGATGCTTCTTCGGAGTCGTCTTCGACCGTCCCGGGGCAGGGCCCCCAGGGGATGAAAATAGCGGAACCTCCCCGCCTCGAGCCTCGCCTCCCCACCTACAGGAGCGAAAGAGGAGGAGCAGGACCAGTGTAAACCCAAGGGTCGTCAAGGATGTTGGAAGAAACCCTCCCTCCAAGCTCCCTCTTCGCAGGTCCCTACAAGGGTTCATTTCCACTGAGGGAACTGCCTCGTTAAGAAACAACCGTTTGAAGACCCGGAAGCATGCCAAAAGATCGCTCTCAGGAGTCCAACGCCACGGATCAACCTGACTGATGCGTCTTGACGATCCTGAGTCGTGCCAGAAAGCCATTCCGTTCCTGGGACTTAAACACCGCGAATCAACGTAGCTGTTGCACCCTCAAAATCCTGAGTCCATCCAAAACACCACTTCCGCTGATCAGGGAATCCGTGAAAATCCTGATAGTTTTAAAACGAGCATGCGCGGCGCCAAGGCGAAAGCCACATGTTGAAAACAGGTGGCCCTCAATCCGCGGAACTCTTGCAAGTGCTTGAAACGAATGTGCGCGACGCTAAGGCGAGATCCACAGTTTGAAAACGACCCGCACTCCGTATGTGGAACTGTTGCCGATGTTGAAATTTCAAGGCCATAGGTGGTAAGAAAGTCTCAGGCGAAACGCCTGGACCGCCCTAAAAACTGGCCTCGGGGTGCGACGGGGAGAAGTTATTTATTAGAAGGAGGAATGGAGGAGGAGGAGGAGGAGAAGGAGGAGGAGGAGGAGAAGGAAGAGGAGAAGGAGGAGGAGGAGGGGAAAAGGCGGAGGAGGAGGAGGAGGACGAGAAGCAGGCAGGAACAGGAGCAGGAGCAGGTTGGCTTTGCCCGAGGCAGCGCGGACTTTCCTGGTGACGCCGAATCACGCGGAGGTCTTAGACTGAACTCTACGAGAAATGGCCTGCGCAAGACCTTGCGACACACTGGCAACCAAGGACTACTCTACGCAAGGACGCACGACAGCGCGGGCCCTGCTGCCAAGTCGCGTGCGCGATTCCGAGGTGCGTCACGAGTCGGGTCCCCCCAACGCATGCTCCGTTCGCCCATTCTGGGGCGAACAAGCACTCGCAGCCTACGACAGCGCCGTCGCGGACGCAAGGGCCGAGCTGATTGGCGTCCACCTGACCCTGAAGCAGATCGCGATCGGCAACTTGCCGCTTCGCGACGGCGGCGATGCTTTCGGGTTGGCAGCGCCGCGGGCGTCTGCTGCTCTCTACGCGAAATGCCGCCCCTGGCTCTGGCGGCAGAGCGCCAGGGCTCCCTTGTACACGTAGCAGGGCTTGCGAGCAGCACGCTCGCGGCGGAGCTGGAGAAGGCGAGAGCCGACTCGACGGCCCAGGCACCCGCGCTGGTCGGCGATGCGAAACCGG